CAGGGAAGGGAAGAAAATAATAAAACCACCTATAACAAAATGGAAAGGATCTACAAGTACAAACTCATAATGCCAATGGATTTCTCCATTGAGCTTGAGAGGTCAGCAGATTTTGTTAGAATTACGTGAGAAAATTTTGAAAGTCTCAACCACTAATCTCAGAACTAAAACAACATTTTTGGACATTTAAATAAGAGAAATTATCAGAAGACAAAGCCATGGGGGAAAGAAAGAAACATATAGGCGTGAGCTCTTAAAGAACTGTCACTGGTCATAGTGCAGGAATAAAACATCTCAGATATCTCACCCAACAGCTCGAAGGGACAAATATGACACTGCCTCTTGGCTGGCATGTCTGGCTCATCCACCTGGAAATGGGCCTCAAACAAAGGCTTCTACAGACTGCACATGGAGGACAGAACGTGAGGGACAGTGCACCACCCACTACTACCCACAGGACTCCAGCCTGGAGCAAAATGATTTTGGGCCAGGCCTGTGTTCAAAGGACAACAAGAATCTTATTATTAGGAAAAGTGTGGGGGGGTCGGAGAAACTCAGAAAGGAAAAAAAATGAAGGCTTTAGAGAGAAATAATTTAACAAGCTACCAAACAGTCTTTAGAGTAAGATCCTACTTTTTAAAAACTATGAGAATATATAGAAACAGTAACATCAGGGATGAGACACACAAACATAAATAGTACACATCTGAGAAGTGAGAGGGAGAACTTGGAACTTCTACTTTTTGCTTTATTTATGTACATGTTTGTTTTTTCTTCAAATATCATTTTTTAAAAAGACCTGAGCTGAGCTTGCACTACAGAGAAAGTGAGCATCCTTCTGGGTATACCGCGATGCTACATCTAACCTGAGCTCTACCCTCCGCCACCGCTGGCCTTGCTGGGCTCTCCCAGCATGACCTGAACCTCTCTCCCAGCACAATCAGCAGGCTCTACTTTACCTTCCCCTAGGCCTGGCGCAAAGACTTTAGCCCCCCGCCCCACTGATGTCTGCTCACACCTTTCTGCAGTCTGTCCCCCTGCCCTCTCCCTGGCCAGGGACTGTAAGTAGGTTTTAACCAACGGAATATGGCCAAGCGATGGGGCATCATGACCCTGATAACCATTCACTGTGTATACTCACATACGAGACTCCATCTCTAGCAGACTGGCTCGTCAGCCTTGCCTGCGTGGCTTGATGTTGCCTGCTGGCAGTGCTGGCAGGGCCTGGAAACACGAGGAATCATTAAGAACAAGAATCCTCTAAGAGCTGAGGGCAGCCTGTAGGCTTGGACCAGCAAGGAGCTCTCAACTCCCGGGTCCGAGAGAATCCCGTCAATGACCTATGCAAACCTAGAGCAGATTCCTCCCCCGCTGCCCTTACATGAAAACCTCACTAAGCTGCCTGGCACCTTGACAGGTGAGACCTGGCCCAGAAAAAACAGCCAAGCTCTGCTTGGGCCTTAACTGGCAAACTGGGAATGATGGGTATGTGCTATTTTAGACCAAACCCCAACCCAAACAAAATCCTAACATCACTTCCCCAGATGTGAGGTCTGAATCATGGGGTGAATTATAAGCAGGAGAGAGGAAGGACCTGGAGGCTTTCCCAAATTGCTATCTCCAAACGTTTTAAACAGTGTATGGAGTGAGAATTTACACGTAAAAATATCCAGCCATATATAGAAATACAGAGTTTAACAAATTTTGGCAAATGTACAACACCAATGTATAAGAACCACCCAAACAAGACCCAAGCCTATTGTATCGGTCTCTTTTAACCTAACAATGATTCTGAGATTCATAATGTACCGCATATCAGCAAATTTTGTTTCTGACCTTTCGTACTAGAGAAGACCCTGCAGCAAACAGGTGACGATGAGGTGTCTTCTCGCTGCCACTCTGACAACGGCCAATTCCAGGAAGACCACAGCCCTGCCAGCCCCTCCTCCTCCTGACGATCCTGTCCCATCTCCAGGAGCAGGCACAGCATTCCGTCCCTCTGCCAGCCTACCTTCCTTATCTCATCCAACTCATGAAACTGGAAACAAACCCAGGAGCCTGGATGACAAGGTATCGGGAAATGTCTTTTCACTTCCTGTGCCTGTGCCGCTAAGGACAGGACTGCAATAGATGACGTGTGGCAACTCACCATGCAGAAAACCAGAAACACAGCTGTGCAACTGTTGCAGCACCAGCACAGACTAACTGGTAGAAGTCCCATTATGTTGCAGAGTAGACTGAAATACAAGGAGAGGTTTTAATATTTTCTTCTCATCATTACATAAATCACTGTCATGAGCCAAGAATTTAGAGTAGCAACAACTTGTCATCATTACAGTCTGCTGGAAAAGAAGGATTCTCCAAATAGAAAGCCTTGAAGTGTCCTCAGATATCGCCACTGTACACAGCTCTCATTGTTTGACCCTAATTAACCTCGCGGAGCACCATTTTGCAACTTTCATGTAGAGACAGTTAAATATTTCTAGAAGCTTTCTAATTCTAAGTATCTGCACTTGGCCAACTCTAAAACATGAGCTGTGGCACTAAACGGTAACTCATATATGTTCAGAAAAAATAAATTCATGTTACTAAAATATGTTTTAAAAGGGATTTTAAAAATATAAGGAATAGTTAAATAGATTTATCAAAGGTAAAATGTGAAAATGTCCACTGGAGAGTACTGTGTTGTATGTCATTTCCAGAATGATATAAAACGGACCTCAGTTTACCCAGGTAAGAAAGCCATCAAGCATTACTGAAGGAATCTGAAAATACTCTGAAAATTAAAGGCTTTAATTAGGAAAGATGACATTTCTCTGCATGGGTTTAATTGCGGTTCTTTCCAGACATTAGAGCAACTTAAGTATTTCTAATGACTTTAACACTAGAGAAACTCTCTGACGTGTGCACTTTTGCATTTTCTAGGGTGTCGCCATCTGCGGACCCTAAATCACAATGTCAATTATACTGAGCTTCATGTCTGTGCCCGACAAGCTCAGACACGTGTAGTCCCAGAATTCTACAGCGTCGTCTTCCAGGATGCTTCGCCACCCTGTGCTGGCTGCTCAGAAGTGAGGCGACTTGGAAGCCGGTGCTGCTGTCCACATTCAGGCCACACTGGAGCAGACACAGGGCATGCGGAATGGGATTCCATCGACCCATTCCATGAAAGCAAGAACTGTGTCCAGGAATTTCCAGGAGGTTTGTGCTTGCATTTATCAGGGTGGTGCCTCTCCACACACCTGATTACAGAAGAGGCCGAAGGATAAGACTCAGCATTACCATTTCAGAGCAGAATCCAGAAAGGGACAAGGTGGCTTCCCTGGGCCATTGGCAGTGTCTGCCAGGGACTGTGCAAGATCCAGGTGTTTCATGGCTGTTATTCTATAAAAGGATTAGCAGCCAGAGCTGACTCAGGCCCAGGTATGTACAGGCATCAATGATCTCTTATTCACTGATTACTGACCCCAGCAAACTGCTCAGCTGCTGCAGCATGGTTTGTGTGTGTATATAATTTAATCCTGTAAAAGCATCTCTTTTCTCCAGTCTGTTAAGACATTTGTCAAAATGTCACATAAAATATGATGAACTAATATTGTATTCTAAAATTATACACAATAATGTCAAACACTTTCCTGTTTAAATTTATTTTTTCCGCTTGCTTAGAACATACAGTGATCTATGAAAACAATGTAAAAAGTTTAAAATTATGCATAAAGAAGAAAAAGCACTAGAGAAAGAATTGCTCAGTCATTTGAAAAAATGGAAGACAAAGGATTCAGAGGACTTAGAATGCAAATGGTATTGTCAGCAAGGGTTAGGACGGGTTCCTTTCAATATGGGGAGATTTTGTAGAGAAAAATGTTATCGTTAAAATTTTGCTTTGTTAGCTAAACATGCTCTGGTTAAACTGTCCCTTAAATATATTTTTAAAACAGAATATGTGCATTTTGTGAAATTAATTGAAGCTAAAACAAAATCATTTGTTGATTATTACAAAGAACTGATGATTTACGAAAACGATTGCATTGTTTCAGTTTAATTTCTTGGATGCATGGAATACAAAACATTTTTGTTTTAAAAGGTTACCTAACCCCTATAGGCTTTTCCCTAATCCCTAACCTCTTTCATTTCAAAAGAGAGAAAACTCTGCCAGTTTGAAAGTACAAAAGGTCTCTAAAGAGGTGCAGGCAAGGGAGAGGTGATTGGTCCTTGGCTTAAGGAGCCAAGAATAATAAAATTTGATCTTGATCTTCTTCAGTGTGCCTCCATTTCCGAAATCAGGTGCAAGTTTAAAGAAGCCCTCAGTCCTACGGGCTAGAAGTATGCACTCAAGTGTCTGTCAATAATCACCAAATCTGTTCATTAATTTTTTTTAAAAAAGGTTTTATTCATTATGTTCATTGGTACATTTGAGGTATACAATATGATGACTTTCATCATTGGGAATTTGTACCTTTGGTTTTTATTTTTTCCCCATTTCCCTCCCCTCCCTTCAAGTACTTCACCCCTCCCCATTTACATATCTCCTGTAACCCATTCCATCCCCTGGGGTATCTCCTTGGATGGTTATTGTCATATTTCTCCTAGACTTTTGCAAAACCCTTACTCTATCCAGTAGATGCTCCACAAGACTCCTGGTGCCACAGTTTTCCTAAAAGACAACTGAACACAGTATCTTCCTGCTTTCAAAGCCAATCACTACTACCATAACCACCACTACTGCTGCCAGTCTTTCACTGTCTAAATAAGAAATGAAAATTCCTATGTCTAATCATATGATCTTTCACTATCACTCACAAAAGGACTCAGTTCTCAGAGTAGATTGATACACAAGATGACTCAGAAAACCAGAAGACCGGAGACAGGCAGGTAGTGGTCCCAAGCCCACTACTTCTGGATATCTCACCTTCCTGATCCCCGGCCCGTTTGTGACATCCCAAAACACCACAATGGCATTGCTCTGTGGCAGAATTTCCAAAGCTAAGAGTGAAGTCTTGCTGGTGAATGGAGGCTGACTTCTTGCTCTCCAAGAACTGCAAGTAGCTACCCAATCTCTTCTTGAAATCAGCAGTCTGTGAGCTCACTGTAGTGGGGCAGCCAGAACCTTAAAGCCTAACAATGGGACAGTGACAAGAAGAGAGGTGGAGAGAAACTTTCACAGTCCCCCTCTTCCACTCCAAGAGAAGAAACACACGGCTTTATTATGGTACCAAGTCCACCTCCAGATAGAAGCAATACATCTCCTCTTGAACAAGACTGTTTCTCCAGTTTAAGCAAATCTATCCAAACTACCTCCAAGCTGCAGTGAATCATACGGTGGCTGAAGGAACTACACTAAGAAGGTAACTTGTGAACTTCTAGTCTTCCCATACCCCTTGTTTCTACTAAGTTCGAAGGCCCATATTCATTCCCACCCTCACGTCCTGGTTCATCCAGGCTAGAATTAATCTTTCTCTTTCTGTGCTGTCTTGTATCACATCTGCTTTAGTTTTCAGTCTACAATGTTTTTAGTTGTGAAGATTTTTCTGCTGTACAATTACACACCTGTGGAAAGGAGCACACTTTTTCATTATTTTTTGCCAGTTCTGATACATAAGAGAAGCTCAATGAATATTTTTGGACTGAATCTATATATACTCAAACTATTGAATGAATTTTCTCAAGACATGGTATTCCCAACCTGCTGTTTCTTTTCCTCTATGATATAGATGATCTTATTTAGCAGATCTTTTTCAATGTTCTCAAAAGCTCAGACCAATAAATGTGAAGCAATAAAGGAATTCAGCCCAATTTTAACTTGGTGTAAACTTCAGTATTTTTAAGGAATTCGTTCTTGGGCTTTGAGATAGGAATCTCTGGCTGTATATAGGGGGAAAATATTTTCCAGAGATTAAAAAAAAAAAGGAGTTGATTAAATAGTTGTAAAGGTTCCTTGGGAACTGATCTCAGATATGGCAAAAACAGTAGGAAAGATTTCTGAATGTTCACCTTCATTGCCTTACAGATAGAAATCCTTCAGTGTAGACCAAGAAAACGAGTTAGAGAAAACATAATTTTTAATTCTATGCACTTTGAGCTTTCCCTAAACACACGAACCTGCTCTGTTCTCCAGTGGCTGTAGCCAAGGCTCAAGGCGATGGATCATCTTTGCAGTATTTTCAACAGATGGGAGATGGACAGATGTGACCTACCTACTTACACTGAAGTTGCTCTTAATTATTCTTTTACTTTTTGTCTCTGAGAAATAAGCCTACAATCGGATGCTCTCCTATTAACTTGAAGTATATGAAAGGAAAGTGGTTTGATCATCTGCCACTTAAAATATGTGTACAGGTGCTACTGCTCTTTAGCTGCCTTCAAATGTCCTTCTTAAAAGATCTCTACTAAATAGTTTGGTGTGAAAAGCTAAAAGTGTAAGTAAGATCCAAATTGTATAACTGATACTGTGAAATAGGAAGAAAAGGGCTAAAGGTGTAGCGAAAGTGGGAAGGGTAGGGGGAAAGGAAATAAGGGAAAAGAAAAAAATGTGAGAAAATGAAAAAAATGGAAACAAAGTTTTGCTAAAAATATGGAGGGTGAAGGGAGGGCAGGGACAAGGGGAAAGATGAGAACCAAGATCTGTCATGTAAAGGTACAAGATCCCAATGATGAATGTAACTGTACTGTATATCTAAAAAGTATCAATAAACTCAGTGAAGAAAAAAAAAAAAGATCTCCATCACTGATTCATGTTCTTCTTACTAAAAAATGACTTTATTTAGTGTCACTGCTTTTAAACTTTATCTGGTTCTGTCCTGATTTTTGTTCACATGTAGGATCCTTTAATTACATGCCACTTTCATACAGGAATGTATGTCTATCCATGTCAGTCGGTTAAAGGTCAATTACACAAATATACAGGCATCACGACTGTCTTACACAGAAAGCTAGATGACATCCTAACAGTAGTCGATCTTGAGTGCTGCCTCATGCACCACTTTAAGTTCTTTATAAACACTAACTTTAAATTTCTCACAATTCTATGAGATAGAAATTCTTGCCAATTAGACTTTAACAGGCAAGAAAATTGAAGAACAAATGTCAAGTAAATTTATGTTTTTACAACATGTTCGGTTGTGATTAAAATGCAGTCATGCATAATTCTGTCCACTGATAATCTTCACATTTTTAACATGCTCTGCCATGAGGTAGCCACATGGCCTTGTGCAAGTTAACTTATCTAGTTAAGTGTCTATTAACCCTTCTGTAAAACACACCCTGTAACTGCATATGAGCCCATGTGGGGAAGAGTAACAATGGATTAGGCCCTGTACCTGGAGCTAAGGAAGTCCTCATCAGTTTTTAATTAGTATTACGATTACTATGAGCTCAAACATGCACACAGGTTTGGATGGACAGTTTATAACTTCAACACTTTGAAGGAGATACTTAAGACCTTCAATTCCCTGCCTTCTTGACCTATGCAGGGAGATTAATTAAATGTCTCTGGTGGACCACATGATGCAGTACAAGGTTAAATCAAACACCATTTGCAGAAGTAGTGAGCAAACTGTAAAGAACTAAACATGTACAAACTATTTCTTTTATTAAATCAACAGGGAGAAAATGGCGTTGACCTTTCGGTCCACAGTAAGCACTTCAGAAATTTTCAGGGTCCCTAAGCTCATAGAGATAAATATTTTAACTACATTTTTTTAAAATGACAAAGTGCAGAAGATTTTTAAAAGCAGCAGGCAGGAGTATCTGCTGTACAGACCTGCTCCTCAAGTGTCATAACGCTTGCTTGTATAACTACGGAACTATGAGTTCTGTTAATGTAGTATTTTCACTAGTGATGCTAATAACATTAAAGAACTGAGAAAATGTTGTGATATTTTCAGTGCTGTGTTCTTGGTTTCCTGAAGGTCAGAGAGCAAGATTAAGTTAAAAGAAATTGTATAAAGATAATTTAAATAAAATAATCACAGCATTTATAAAGGTCAAATTGTATGTAAATTCTCATATTTATTCAAAACTCATTTTGAAAAGAAGCTTAATAAATGACTGTAATTTATATAATGTTTATATGAATTGAGGGATATAAGGATTGCTTTTATCTATAGCAAATGGGGTAAAATAAAACAAAGGTGTCATTCTAGAAATTTAGTAGCTTCCTACAGTTATTATAGTAGGTGTCTTAAAGTAAGTTTAAGATAAAATCAAGTATCCGCGTTGGAGAAAATAAGTTGTGTAAGGTTAATTTGGAATTAAGTAAATCCCACAGTGAAAACAGAGAATGGTACTGAACAACAGCATTTGAAAGTATAGTTACTTTTTTGATAACAAAATCTTCTATGTTACCCTGGGGACCATACTGAAATAAATGAAAATAAAATTACAACCAGTTATCTGCCAGAGCGTAGTGATCTGTACACGCTGTTGGAAACTGGGTAAGGAGGAAGACACAAGAAATTGAGATCTTATGAAAAATAATCTTGACTATGACCAGAAAGAAACAATAAATACAGTTAGCATTAAAATAAACGTAAATGGAAAATTTCATCAGTATCCCTTGCTTTTGTTGCTAATTTCATGCTTATTGTGATTATAAGGGCTAGATTTAAATTATTTCTTCCTTGAAGAGACATTTAGTATCTAGTTCCATTGACAATATAAATATATACATAAACAGATCAGGTGTGCTTCCTAACATTTTCATCATAAAGATACAGCATCCTATGACAGTAATCTCAATATCATTGTACTATTTTTAAAAATCAGTTATAGGTCAATAAAGAAAAAGTAAAATTTAACATAAAGATACAATTCTGCAATTTTCTTAGCAAATTACAACGAAATTTGGGAGGCTTTTTCAAAGCCCATTAACTACATCCACCATGTTTAGTGACGAAGGTTTTCTGACCTCTCCTCTGTAGGGGGCAGGGAGGGAAGGAGGGAGCCCCTGAGGATGCCCATGTCACAGCCATTTAAACATGGTGGGTCTGCAAGAAGGGCTGCAGCAGGTTCAATATTAGTTTAATTGTAAGTTACACTTGCACTTAATTTCCTTACGTGGGGAGTTGCATGTTTGCTGTGAGTGATGGTTTGATTTATTCTTAAACAGGACTTGAAAGACTTTTTGTGAAATTGTAGCTGAAAACACACCAAATGTATGTGATGCAAAGAGTGCTTCCGAGGAGATAAAACTGGTAACGAAATCTTTTTTAAGAAAAGGAAAAAAGGAGAAAAGGAACCAGCAAAAATGGACTGAAGTTGATCTTTCAAATGGTGAGATACAAGTCTCAACAAACCTTTCAATGTTTTTATCTTCCCAGGGATAATGCTATGTTTTTATGGGTGATGACCTCTCTTTTTTCCCCTAAAAAATACGGCCTTAATTTTTCTTTCTAATACTTTCTTAAAGCAAAACGACAACACATAACATGAGTTACTTTGATATTCTACTGTTTACATACATTTATACAGCTGCTTAAAGTCATTATTAGGTTCTTAAAAGCATCTCATATGTGTTATAAGATACAAAAGGAAATGTCCTGGTCTGCATTTAAAGGGTCAACCCACCAAGTCGTTCTTTGAAGGGAAGACCTATCAGTTGGTAAGTGTACTGTTTAATCAGAACTCATCTGGGTGCGATAGAAGCTCAATTTGAATTAGTGTAAGCAAAGAAATTTTAAAGAGAAGAACTTGATGGAAGGGTACTTTCATCTCTCAACACATTTCTCCTATAGCTGAGCAATCACACAACCTGGCTTTTTTCACAGATTTTAAAGCAAGGCTTCTAATGATTCAAACTACTTTATCATAGCCCAGTACATCCTACTCAGCACATAGCCCAAGGAAAAAAGACTCAGAGAAGTAAGCTAATGTGTCCACCCCACCTCAAGTGACCACTGTAAGGCCACCAACCCTCTAGGACCAGCCTGAGCTCTGGGCATCTGGCAATGTCCACAGTCTGGGCCGTGAGCTCGTGCCTGGCAGCCACCTCTCAGGTGTCTTTAATGGGAACTTTTAGATTCCTTTGTACCAGACTTGGTAGGATTCTATCTCATTATAAAGCCCAAATCCTCCTTTAAAAATAATGTAAACCCTAGCCATAAAAAGAATGGTAGTTAGGTTATACACTTAGCTCAATCAATACTTTAGATAATGAAATAAATGAAGAAAGTTAACAAAGAGAAAATATAATTTCTCATTCATTTATTTATGTGCACAGTCCAAAAGGTCAAAGTCAAGCAAATACCCAGGGATATCATATTTTATGAAGAAGATAGATGATTTACTTAGATTAAATTATTTTAGAATTAAATGTGAGGTATGGGTGTTACTGAATCAAAATATATTAAATTCCATTTACTAATCTCTTCTCTCCTTACAATCTCTAACAGTTATTTATTCAATCATTCATTCATTCATTTATCTAAAATTGAGCCCCCTACATTGGAAAAATTGGAAGGCATTGATTCTTGATTGTAAGAATTTTTTTATTGATGAGGAATTTTTGAAAAGGTAGAAAATTAGTTCCACCGTATGATTAACTCTTTCTTAAATATTTCAACAATTTTTTTTTAATTGAGTTTATTGGTACATTTAGGGATACAGTACAGTTACATTCATTGTTGGGATCATGTACCTTTACATGGCAAGTCTTGATTCTCATTTTTTTCCCCTTACGTCTGCCCTCCCTTCACCCCCTCCTCCCCTCCCCATCTACAAACACTTTATTTTCATCTTTTCATTCTCTCACATTTTTTTCTTTTCCCTTTTTGTTCTTCCCCTACGTATCACACCTTCCCTACACCTTTAGCTCCTTTCCTCCCATTTCTAAATGTCAGTAATCTTATTAGAATCTTATGCATTGTTGCAGAATATTTCAACAATTTAAATGGACTAGATAGACTTATTCACTGACATTACTCTAAAGGCAATGAAATATTAGAATTCCTGGAATGTGTTTCACATATTCAGTTCAATCTCAGTGGTTAAGTATGATTCTCATTGCTATTATTACTCATATTATTGCTAGTAAAATAATTTCAGTTTTATTAAATGTAACAACTCTGCAAAGAGCAGTGTATTGACTAACAAGTTGAACTTAGATTTCAAAAGTATCTAAAATTTGAAGGCCTTTGTCTATTTAGTTAAACCTTCTACCCAATGTAAATCCTGGAAAAATCCTTAGTGGGACACACCTTGCTTAATCCCATTGGCCAGAACTTCACTGTTTCATTCCTTAAAGGTGTGAGTGCCATCGTTGTTTGTGTAAATTAAAGCTCAGGATACATTTTTAAATGCTAGGTGAATTTTCTCATATACTTGCATCCTATGCTGGTGTCATGTACTAGTTGGAAAACTGTGTTTTGAGGATGTTGCACAAAGTCAAAGAATGAAGTAGCCAGCAAAGCAACCACCCAGCCCCACCCCTGGTGGACAGGTTCAACAAATCAGCACTTTTGTAGCCAAGCCATGGTACATCTCTGGACTGCCACCCATTGGCCAAAAGGCCACTGATCATTGTTGGTGAATTTCCTGAACTGAAGGGAGTATCCAGTCTCCCACCTTGTGAATACATCTTCTGGGTATGCCTGGAGCAAAGCTGGAGCTTGTTCCCAGCAAGGCCCACTGCAAAAACCACTATTCCGATCTTCCTAATGTTTTTGAGTTACCTACGTCTTTGGGTTATTCCTTTCAGTTTAAAGTTGCTTGAGTTACAACCCTTCCACAATGTGCAGTATTACCTGCCTCCCCTTAATTTTATTCTTTATCCTAATTCTCTTCTCTTGTAACGTGCTTTCCAATATAACTTTACTTCTTTTGCATGCCAAAGTTTAAAGGCAGCTTCCCACAGCCTTCCTTCCCACCTTACCAACCCCACCATCAGCAAGCCAACCTTCACTGGCCTTCCCTCACACAGCACACAGACCTAGGCTGTCACAGGCTTGGACAAATATTCTGCCTATACATAGTGAGGCTTACAAAGTCTCATACGTCTGGGCATATCTTGTCTACTGGGTAAATACACTGCCAAATATTGGATAAATATGGCAATTTCATGTTTTCAATCTTGTTATTAGTCTGCCATAGGACTTTTGGTGTATTTGTCTGGGCTCTGGTCTAGCATGTAATTTCAGAGTCATTTCTGACCACACTATCATGGTAATAACAAGAGAAGACATACTATATCGTATGTTGGCAAAATGTGAATCCTCATAGGTACACATCAGTGTCTTCCCTAAAAATTTCTGTTAGTTCCTCAAACTTTTAAGCCTGCAGTTGTTATATGGCCTTACATTTCCACTCATACGTATTTACCAGGGAGAAATAAAAACAGAAGAAGTCCACAGAAAAGTTAGTCACAAATATTCACAACATCATTAGCCAAAATCAGTACATGAAAGGAACTCAAACGACCACAGCAGACAGCTGAATCAATGAAATGAGGTATTTCTGTACAACAAAATATTATTCGGCAATAAAAATAATAAAATCATGATGCATACCAAAACACAGATGAAACCTGAAACAGTGTGAGTGAAAGAAGCCATTCATAAAGGACTACGTGAATTAGTCAGGTTGAGAGTGTCTACAGAGGCAAAAAGTATAGCAATAGTTTTCTAGGGCTGTGGAGTTTGGGGAAAATAAGGAGCGACTATTAAAGAGAACTGGGTTCCCTTTTGAGAGGATTTCAAATTCAATGCTATGGTAGCTGTACAGCACCGTGAATACGATGAAGCAAAGAACTGCATTGTCAGTGCATGGTCGTGCAAGCTACATGTCAGGAAGTTACTTCTCAGAGAAGTTGCCTTAAAATGCATAGAACTGTAAGACTTAGAAGTGTAAAAAACTATAGAGATGATCACATGGGATTGATTCTTTATGAATATGGCGAATGAGTGAACTGGTGATATACTGCTGTGCAACCTCAGCGATGACAGTCTTAAAAGTACTGCTCATTAACTGGGCCATGTACACCCGAGTATCCATGGGACCGATATCTCTGCTTCACACATCCCCTGGGGCCTGGCCCTGGCCCCACCGAGGATGACGCACTGCAAAGGTGGGTGAATTAGGGGTGGTGGCAGCTGGGGACTCAGGCAGCGCTGTGTGCTGGGAGATGAATGACCATCCATGTAGCCTCTTGGAAGGGCTGGGGCAACTGTTCTCCATGTGCCTGGTCTCCAGGCAGGAGCCTCTCCGAAGTGCCAGGTAGGAGGCTCACCACCCTCCAGCTCCTATAAAATGTGGTCACTTCTGTCCTGTCGCAAGCTTATCTGAAGAGAAGGAGGGGAAACACTGAGCACATCTATCAGCAGCAAATGTTAGGTTTAACCAGTAAGAGTGGATGAGAGTGGAGAAATATTTCAAACACTGCAAACCAACACAATCAGCAACCTGGAGTCCTAGGGCAAGTACTCTGTCAAAATCCCCCTGCTTACTTCACCATATAGCAAGGCTTATACTATAGGGTCCATATTTCTAACCAAAACAAGCTACTCACTTCCTGTTGTGACATAAGAAAAGTATGCTCAGGTTTTACATTTCAGTTAAATGGCTTTTGATAACAATCTGTTTTAATATACCTGCATCAAAATTTAACCTCAAAAGTATTGATAAATTAACCCCCAAAAGAGCCAGGGATATTATAAGGGATTTGCTACAAGAGTGCTTTTAAGTTTTCAATAGAAATCCTTAAAGCATTTTTTATAAATATCCTATTTCCATTAATCTAGAGAGAAAATTGGAGTTACTCTAATACAAAGCCACAGAGAAGCAAGCTCTCCGCGTGTTCCACTGTCACCCATACACATGCAGAAAATATACCTTGTGTTAAAATATAAAAAGTCAACAGTAAAAATGCCCACACGTAAACTATACTACAAAAATATAAGTAGCAAACAGAAAAAAATTACTTTAAAAGTCTGTGATCATTAGGACATTTTAATATGATGATATTACAAATTTCATCAAGCAAAAATATGTAAAAAATTCTCCAAACACAAAAACAATTCAAGAAAAAAATTTACAACAACTGACTAGTGTGCTCTGAAATGCAGGAAAAGAGTATATTATTCAAAGAACAGCTAGAAATTACTGAGATATCCAACAAATACGATAAACTTGGCATAACTAATATAAATAAAATTAACAGCATATTTGTGTGTTTGATGTGCGAAGTTGCTGAAAGATAACCAATGTGCCAGTATTTTTTTTCTTTTAACACAAGCAAGGCACACAGTCTCCACTGAGGAAAAAAATAGACACATTTTATCAATGAAAGATATGTTTAATAGGCCTCATTTTAAACTGAAGATCCATGTCATTCCACCCGATTAAATGAATTTCAATTGAGGTTATTTATAGAGAAAATTGCAATTTGAGGGCATTTATTTTATCAAAATAAAAAAGCTGATTCTGAATGGTATGCAGGCAGCCCAAGTTGTAGATTTTGATCTAGGAGACCATGAAAACAAGGGAAAAGGACATGATCAGCACAACACTGGAGACAAGATCCCAACTCAGGATGTTTTCAACAATTCAATAAAGCATTTACACCTGAGCTCAAGCAGAACAGGAAGACAAGGTACATGTATTCTTGAAGTCATGCTCTAAGTACAAACACACAATACCCACTCCAGGGCATGCTCAGCTTTTCTCTGCAGCTAGGAACCCACCAGGAAGAGGAGAAGACATGGCCAAACCCTCTTCCAGAAATTAACTAAAAAGTTTAGGTATTCATCAGAAAAACACATTACAATTGTACTTACTTGTCTTACTATATATCTATGTATCTGTTACTACAATGTGTCACTGACATAAAATCGATTGATAACGTATTTTTCCATACAATCCCGAAAACCTCCAGTATGGCCATTCCTTCTCTGGAGTCTCCATGAAAGTGGAGTCACCCTTCTGTTTACAGCCACACTCTTGAGAGCATTCCATGGAGGACTGAGCTGCTGCCCCAATAAGAGCAGAGCTCCCCAAAGAGGGAAACTTTATGGCCCAGATTATAAATTTTAAAAATAAATTGCCTATGGCTTTTGATGGGAAGTCGATAGCAGACAATTTCAGGTCTCTGACAAGTACTTAAGAGTGTGCAATATTATTCATCAAAAGTGTTTGCTTTGGCAAATAGGTGGGTTGAAAACAATTTGATAATTAGTTGGGGTAGAGGCCTTTTCCTCTTTGGGGATTTGCTGGGTGTAGGTGCCAGGAAGTCTTCAGGGTTATGACTGCACCTAAAATGCTCCAATCAACTCAAAGACTTAAACTGCTCTGATTAATATCCCAGGGTTCTACTTCCCAGGACAAAAGAGATGGCTGCATCAGAACTTTGCATGAAACAGTCTGTGATCGCCTGCAATAGTGGAATAACCTTAGACTGACTTTTATGTAGTCGTAATTTTTCATTTAAGGACAGCTGTTTCATCCAGTAGACCTTCCAGGATGTGCAACTTGAAAAGGCATCCTCAGACAACTAAACTACTGACTTCGTGAACAGAAAGCTCCCTAGTATTGCCTACCTACGTGCTGAAGATCACCTGCCCAAAGTGATATTTGTTGTATGTGACACCGAGTCATTCTTTCTCACTGTAATTAGGCAAGTGGTCCGGTTCTCTCCTGAGGCCAGCAGAAGAGTGTGGAAGTCAGAATCTGTCATCAGTGAAAAGGGAGAGAGAAAAGGGGGACAATGTGATCTTGGCTTTTCTGTGGCACTGGGCTGCAGAGCAGGCTCACTTAGAAACCAGGGCATGGACTTGCATGTGGTGTTTACGGTGGCAGATGACTGAGAGCAACTTCGATGTGATCGATGGGCTGCCTGGGGCATGTTTACCTATGCCACTGGTGCATGCAAGACCTGACTCCAGTCCAAGCACTGACGCCGGTAACAGGGATGCTGGGCCAAAGCAGAACTGTGCTCGACCCATGGCATTCCCTCAGTGTCACATCTCCTCCATAAGCACTGATAACCAACAGAGAGGTGCAGAAGGCCCTTGAATTTATGTTTAGATTCTCACGAATGATTCCTTCAGATTCCTAAAATATATTGCAGACCAAATCAATGTAAAGTTTTTGCCCTCCCTTTCCCTGGTGAGTAAGAATTGCAAAGTCAAGGATGCAATCCATCTTGATCATAACAAAGCTTTGGTGAACGAAAATTTATCTCTTGGAAGGAATAGTAGAAAACATACTGTAAGTCAATTACTCTATCTCAATTATGAGGCAGGGTAGGTCAGTGGGGAAAAAAAAAAGGATTCAGAATAGAACCATCTACTTTCACATTTCTTTAGTAATTTCCTATACAGATTTGGTAGATAAGCAATATATGCTATTTTAGTCTCAGTTTCTTTGGTCATAAGCAAAAAAAAACAAACAAAAAAAAATTAAGAAAAGACTAAAGAAAAAGTCATTGCTTAGTTATGTAAGTGATTAAATGTTTCATATAAAATGAAACTATTTTTAACTTTTTTGAAAACTTAAATATGGCTTTAAAAATTTTATTTTGAGATACTATTCAGCACTGTTGCCTTGTTCTGTGATAATTCATGTGTTTATCTTGACTATTAATTCCAAATTTTTATTTGAAATAAAATAGTCCTTAATTTTCAATAATTTGGCTCATTTGCTCTGAAAAATGAAACTCTTCCATGTTCACTCTCTAACATGTTCCCTGAACCAGGCGTGGTGGTGCACGTCTGTCATCCCAGCACTCGGAAGGCTTTGGCAGGAGGATCGCTGCTAGTTTGAGACCAGCCTGGGCTACATAGTGAGTTCCAGGGCAGTCTGAACCACATAGCGAGACCCTGTCTCAAAATAAACAAACAAACAAACAAACAAAAAAGATGTTCTCTTGGTTAATTTCTCACTTTGTGCAAACCATGCACAAGGCAGTGATTACTATACTCGAAGCTTTACTTTGTCTTACGGGAGGTCCCTATGCTTAATTAATCATGACACATTTTCCCAGTGAGTCTGTGTCCCTAAGCTTTTTTTTAAAACTTTGCTCCAGGCAGCCTCTGCCGAAGCAGACCTAGTGATTTATGTACAAGGAAGAATGGCATGTTATTTTATTTTCAAGCTGAGCAAATTGAATCAACCTAAAAGATCAGCAAAGGTACAAAGATAAAACTATAATATCAAAGAAATTACAGTGGCTTTATTATATACTTATTGGAAAATGTTTAAAATAATATTCAGTGCTATGAAAAATACTTCTGATATAATATAAAATACAAAGATTACAGAGCAAACAGATATTACATCTAAACGCTCACATATGCACATAAAAATCCTTGGAGGAAATATTTATAGCTAGCTCTGTGTGTAGTACATTCTCTAAAATTTTCACGTTTTTCCCTGTCTGATGTTATAACTTTTCCACAATGTTCATCTATTATCTGTATGATGAAAAATTCATAAAAATTACTAAAACATCACATTTAGAATATTCAGTATGATTTCACGTATGAATATTTAACAGTGAAGTCTAATGATTAATGTGAAAGAAGCAGGAGAAATACCGTTGTGTCATGTTACAAAACCCTCCATCCCGCAGCCTGCTGTCTCCTCTAGCATACAAAAGTGCAGCTCACTTCTACTCTTTCCCCAGAAGGGCTCTGGGTACCCTGTAAACTACAGGGAGCACATCAGAAGCCAATCAAAGCAGTTAAGTTTCAGAATGGAATTCGGGATTTTTGAAAAGATGGATTGCTATACAAGTGGCCTGAGGTGTTCCACAATTTTAAGGGAAAATTAAGTTTTAAGGTAAAAGATTAAAAATAAACTTAGAAAAAAGAATATAACATATATCAGGCAGGAAGAAGCACGACAGGGAAGAGAAAGGATGAGTCCACATTTCCAGGGTTATTCTTCCTCAAATGAAACTCGCTGCATTGATTCCCAAGATAATCGTAGTAGTTTATTGCCCTATTTTCCCTTGATCTCTCTAG